TTGAAACAGACTACAGCTAATTTTCATAGTGGACTGTACCATACGATAAACATGTCAGTCAATTTGACAACCTTTGTCGGAAACATTATTCAATGAAAATATTGTCCGAACCCTTAGTATTTCTCTTCGACAAATACATTAACACATCGTGAACCACTTTTCTTTCACGACTATAAAAATATTTTAGCAATTTAATTCACGAAATCAATTGCACACATTTAAAATAAAGTTTGTTTACACTTTGACAACAATAGACTGACATGCAAGGTGACATGTCAATGAAGTTTTCAGTTACTGTTGCCATTAAAAGAAATTAGTACCATTAGTTTTCCGCAACATGGCGAGGGTTTTTATGTTCCTGGTCAGGCTATAAATAGTAATTTTATTCATAAATTGCTTACAAACTGATTAACAGTGATTTTAAATTGGCTTACCAGAGTAGGCCGCGCGTGTATTGGTGTAAAAAAAAGGGGCGCGTGTACTGTAGTGTTAATCATCCATACTATGAAACCCAATTAGTTAAGATTGGCCTCAAGAAAATTTAAACTGACATTGGACCCGCAACAAGATTATTTAAAACACTTTAGTAGAGTTCGAAGCTTAACTCTATATAGGCCAGTAGAATTAGCTTTTAAATCGGAAATAATTCCTACAAAAGATTTTATTGCTTTAATGGCTTCATTGGTTGCCCATTAAGACTCTCCTAGGTTTTCGACTTTGACGGAGTTGTGCTTAAGTGGTGGGGGCCCCCGAAAGGGGCGCTTTTTCGGTTTTCCGGTTATACCGCGTAAAGGACTTACCCTATCGAAAAATGGTCTTCCTGACGGTTGAAGGGCATTTAATCCTGCATTAAATAAGACCAAATTCATATGTTTTGGACAAACCGTTCTCGTGCAAATGTTCGGCAAAGTAGAAAATACGTGTATAATTAATGACCCTCTCCACGTCCAATAGCTCGTCTCCCGTAGGCTCCAAAGCCTTGTAAAGGGTCGCCTTAACCAGCGTATCCCTGTCAAGGCTCACGAGTTGGATTCGCTTACCCTTGTTCGTCCCAGCCGTTCCTTAACTGCTGTTGCTGCACCTCTTCCTGGCACTCTCCTGAACGACTCTGTGTTACCTAATGTGGCTGCCCCTCTTCCTGTACGATTGCATTGCTTAGCCATATGCCTGGTCCAAGGTTCGACGCCACAAAATCAACTTCGTACGCGTGAAAATAGTTTAAATACTATTTTCCGTGCTTGCAACATTTTTCTTTACTGTTTCGCCTCTATTAGTCGTAGAGTGATTGTATATATCCTATAGCCTTCCTCAATTTATGAACTATTCAACACAAAAATAATTATTTCAATCAAACTAGTAATTCTTGAGATTAGCGCGTTCAAACAAACAAACAAAAAACTCTTCAGCGTTTTAATATGAACTTGTTGTTGTTGATTTTTGGCGTCGAACCTTAGACCAGGCATACGGCTAGGCAACGTAGTTGTGCAGGAGGATACAAGGAAGAGGGGCAGCCACAGTAGGTAACACAGAGTCGTTCAGGTGAGTGCTAGGAAGAGGTGCAGCAACCGCAGTTAAGGAACGGCTGGGACGAACAAGGATAGGCGCATCCAGCTCGTAAGCCTTGATAGGGTTACACTGGTTAAGGCGACCCTTTACAAGGCTTTGGAGCCTACGGGAGACGAGCTATTGGACGTGGAGAGGGTCATTAATTATACACGTATTTTCTACTTTGCCGAACATTTGCACGAGAACGGTTTGTCCAAAACATATGAATTTGGTCTTATTTAATGCAGGATTAAATGCCCTTCAACCGTCAGGAAGACCATTTTTCGATAGGGTAAGTCCTTTACGCGGTATAACCGGAAAACCGAAAAAGCGCCCCTTTCGGGGGCCCCCACCACTTAAGCACAACTCCGTCAAAGTCGAAAACCTAGGAGAGTCTTAATGGGCAACCAATGAAGCCATTAAAGCAATAAAATCTTTTGTAGGAATTATTTCCGATTTAATTCATTTTTGTGTTTAATTCTACTGGACTAATAGTGAAAAGTGGATGACAGATGAAAATCAAACGATTAATAACCACTTAAGAAAAAGATGCACAACAACAACACACTGTAGTCTGTATGTATGACAAGTTTTGCTCGATTTTAGGCAAAAAACTGATTTATGCACACCATGTTAAAAAGCGTTCTGCTGCTTGAATCTATAGTACAATTAAGCTTTTGTGTTTATCAGCTACACAATGATATTGTTACTTAAATATTTGCAAAAACAGCTCTACAAATTTCAAAAAACAGTTCTATCTAGTAGATATCGGTCTAAATGGCAGCTTCTTAAGATTCCTTATGCATAATTCAATCCAATCTGTTGGATTACTTCTATTAATAACGCTCAAGTCTGCATATCCTACCTAAAATTCCCGGTAAACTCTACAATATGTAGAGGGTCACTACACTAGCAACCCTATATAACTGCTGTAACAATACCGCTCGGTTTGTAAGTGAAAAGATCAAGACAAAACTTACACTTAAAATTAATCGGACAGATCCTTGGGATAGATATTTTAGTAGAGTCAGTGCAATGTACACCTTGACACGTTATTGGTGAGAATTTAGATCAATTCAACATGTCTTTATTTTGTTAGACATTATCTTATTCAGGTACTTTTGAAGATAACAAAAGATTCTAACCGACCGCGACCCTTTTTGTTTGCGGTCCAGTTTACCTAATTATTTGGGTATAAATGTAGCCCTGACTAAATGCCATTATAATGACCCTAATGTTGGTTAGGTCAACATAAACACCATGGTATGTTTCCACCCAATTTTACAAAAGCGACAATAATTACTTTGTGCGGTATGACAGTCTGGCAAAAGACATCAATGAACGTGATCTTTATCTAATCAGAAGTTTATTTCAATTGTATTATTAACATGATGTTATCACCTTATCATTAATCATCACCGTGCTTTCCAATCCGACTTTCGTCGCTTCAGCAACATTTCGCGCTTTCAACGAATCTTTACACTACACCTCGCCGTGCCCGTTTGATTTATGTTCTCAACTGATTTTCTTTAGCGCTCCAAACTTTAGACCACATGTCAAACAGCAATGTTGAAAAAATTCGAATGTAAACAAGAATATTTATGTTACACACTATTTTTAGTTGTGCATTATATTTGGGTAGCATTGTTTTAGTTGGTAGTGACGAATGACGGTGCTTGGGTTTATGTGGTGGTGGTGACGGGTCGCGTCATCAAGTTAGATCTTAGATCATCGCGCAGTAAGATTGGTTACAGATAATGTACTGTGATTTACAGATTGGATCCTCAATATTACAGAAAGGACAAAGAGCGTGTAAAAATATTACCAAAAAATAATATTTTCTCTGATGGCGATTCAACTTACTAAATCTGAATATTTTATGTAGGTAACTAATATACTTAATTGTTGTTAAGTTTATAGTAATTTTATAAGAGTTGCAAATATCATTTTATTCATAATCTTATGAACAATTTTCTTAGAATAGGTATTTTCTATCTAGTCTACATAGTTTAAATCAATTTTATTTCCTGAAGAAGGGTTTTCTAGTAGATTTTCCATCAAACAAAAAGGTTTTTTAAAGATTGCTTGGACAAAATTAAATGAGCACAATCATACTCCTAATATTATGTTTTCTCCCTAAAATCAATGAATGTAATAAGCTTACTGATTTATGTTTACAACTTATTATCACCGAGTTTAACTTTCACTTTGCTAACTTAATTTAGAACACTAATAAATGTACCTGTTTTAATTTGTTGTCTATCATCTACTATCGTTATTGCGGTAGTATTACCTACTTCAGTCATAATTTTACTATTTCATTTGGTTGTTTATGTTTCCGTTTCACGTTTTATGGAAGTTTTAGACCAGTCCCCTTTCAATAGAAATTATTGATCCGTACTTCCGGACACCGTATTTTATATATTAATCGTTTGCATTACATTATTGATGGTCACCTACATTCTAACTTGTACCGTTCATGTCAATTTTAATTTAAAGTTAAGCTATTTGATTGTATAGATGGATTTTAGCTGCAATTATTAACATAATCAGTATTTGAAATAGCATTTGCATTAAATTTATTTTGTCCCTTAAACTTATTGGTGTCAGTTATGCTTTTATTGGCATTCGCTTTTGCAATATCTGCCATTTTACTGTCACCGTGCGCAAGAGCACGCTTCTGTGGATGACGCTAAAAGTATTTGACATTAACGTAATCTAGTTCTAGTGTCAACGAACTCAGCCCGTACCTACTTCTATTAGCTTTAATTAAAAAAGGAACAGCGTTTTTTGTATTGACACAGTCGTTTGTTTTGATTAGTCTGTTGGGAACAAGATTTTGCTGGGTGATTTCATATTATTATCGTGTTATCTCATCTGAGTCATTCGTTTTAGCATTACTTAAATTTTTTTCTTTGTTATTTAAATCAGTGTTTAAGATTTCAGTATCTCTTTCAAAGTTATTGCCGACTTTGAACTTATAAATTACTTAAAACGTATGACACACGGCCTCCTTAGTATTTTTATCAACCGGTAGAATTATTTTGTCATACTACAAACTGATAAGTTAATTCGTTCTGTAACTCAAAGAAATGTTAATCCTATAGAATTATTTATGATCAATCAAACCGAATAACTGTTTAGATAAACGTTCCCAATAATTTTAAGACAGTTTAAAATATCTTTTCATATAATTTTAATATCCGTTAATAAGCAAAAAAGCAAATTATTCACCGCTGACAAAACTTTAAAATAAATTCGTTAATATTGAATTTATAATCATTTTTGGCATTCAAAATATCTTAATAGAATCAAAGATGTGCAAAATAATAAAATAAAGTAAATCCATTTATCCGTAAAGAGAAGAGCATAAGCTCTAAAAACACTTTCTTCAGGTAGTGGAAACCGGCTTATAACTTAGAAGATAGTTAAACTTAAAAATTATTTAAACTCACCACCAGTTTCCGAAGACGGCTTGCACTAGCAGCAGCAGAGAACACAGCACTTTCCAAAATAGCATCATATTGTTCCAAAACCAATACAAGTCACTAAAAGATGCACTTTTTAGCGTTTCCTCAAAAACACAAGACCACCGCAAAACTTGTACTCCAAACTTTTCCGTCCGAAACTCAAATTACAACAAAAACCAAACACCAAACAATAACCACAAAACCGAACAACATAACAATGTAATCACAAAAACATTTCTAAAGTGCAAATCGAAATAAATACGAAAAAACAAAACTTTTAAAACAAACTTTCTGTAGAGTTCACGTCGTCGGATCACAGAATATTAAAAACAAAACTGATGACGGCCAGCGAAATTTCAATAGAGGAATTATTTAAAAAGGTTGTACTCTTTTTCCGATTCGAAAAAAATATTTGGGATAGTCGGCGTTTAGGCGAGCGGCGCACTTACGACCTGCGCGCATGGGAAGCGAAACCAGACTGGCTTGCTTTAAGCCGCTGGTAAGTATTCCATAGGATTCGCCGTAAGGGGAAGGGTCTCTTGGAGGGCGTGTAAATGCAACACAGCGCTGCATGAATTCATCCTTCAAAGCCCTTACCACTGTAGCGACCACTTCGCCGATTTCGTCGCTCGGAGCCCACAACGCGATCAAACTACTCTGCACCCATCATCGGCAGACTAGTTGCGAAAACACATGGTACGGTCACATTTTAAAAATCATTTTCTTCTGAGAACCATCAATTGTAAGCTTATGTCGTCGTCTCATGATGTTAATGCGCAAAAATATTAACACTTATTTTGAAATTGATTTGCTTGATCGAATGACGGGGTTTAAATAAATTGATGTTGCCGTAAATGTATATAAAACGTTATTTATTGAGGAAATCAGGATTGAGATTCCAAACGTAAGTGAGCGTTTAAGCGACCTCATAAATTATAATTAATCTCACTTGATTTGTGTACTTACAGTTATTACGAACGCGCTAAAAGGATTTATATGGGTTCGTAGATAAGATTCGCGTTAAACTTTTACTAATCACTTTGTTCTGATTAAAATTTGGTTCACATTTTATTAAACAACTGAGGTTTTTTATTTCAGTCACAATTATCATTTAAATCAATTCCTTTTATTGACTGTGAATAAGGGAGTCATTCAAGGGTGCATTTTGGGTCCGGTTTTTTAATTGGATATAAAATTACAAAACCAATATTTGTATATCAACCATACATCAAATCTTTATAAAGAAGTACTCATCCCTGTCACAGAGTTGATTTGTTAGACTCCCTTCGAATGTCAGCGATACATTTCCTTCTCAATTTAATAACTAATTTCGGTTCCCGACCCCGGGAAGTAAAAAACCACTACAATAGGGCTTACCTGCGTCCCGTTCCCCTTATTTACGATAGTAGTAAACCTGTAATTGCAACACATCAAACGGACCGACAGATGGGAGACTACGGTCTTACTAAAATGCATTTGCATCTGGCAAAATACAAAAATCAACCAAACATCTATAGGAATAAGAACGATGACAAGGACATTGATAGAGACAATAAGTTTGTAAAACATGCAACAGAATTCCCTACAATAGAATGAAGATCTACAAGCGAATTTGAAGCATTGTCGGTGCCATTTTTTTGTCGGCGTCGGTTTCTACTTTTTGCCTTTTGTAATTTGTTGTTAATGGGAGTGTGTTAGCAGCCCTTCGATTCCAATTTGATCTATAAAAAGATGGGAGAGATCTAAAGTCGGCTCACAACTTAATATAGCAATTCTTGAAAATACCAGTCAATTGCCTATTCACTTTTTTGGATAATCTTTTTTTTTGTGTTTATAATCGTCAAACCAAACAAGGTTTGTAGCCTGACCAGGAACATAAAAACCCTCGCCATGTTGCGGAAAACTAATGGTACTAATTTTTTTTAATGGCAACAGTAACTGAAAACTTCATTGACATGTCACCTTGCATGTCAGTCTATTGTTGTCAAAGTGTAAACAAACTTTATTTTAAAGTGTGCAATTGATTTTGTGAATTAAATTGCTAAAATATTTTTATAGTCGTGAAAGAAAAGTGGTTCACGATGTGTTAATGTATTTGTCAAAGAGAAATACTAAGGGTTCGGACAATATTTTCATTGAATAATGTTTCCGACAAAGGTTGTCAAATTGACTGACATGTTTATCGTATAGTACAGTCCACTATGAAAATTAGCTGTAGTCTGTTTCAACTACCTATTTTAAAGTTTTTTGTCACTTTCTAAGTTTTGAATTTTATGGAATTGGGAAAGAAGTACCGAGTTTGAAGCGTTCATGAGCAGACATTGCAGTTGAATATTCAAGTTCTGAATTTGATTATTGATGAATATTATAATAAATCCTACTAGCTCGATTGATGGTTTCATTTAATTTATTTAAACCAGGTTACCTTTAATAATATTTTTCGTTAATTTATGAAAATATCAAATTAGCCCGTAATCCTGAATCCCGATACATAAATTTAGCCTATTAATTCAACACATGTACGACTGTACACAGTGTTGCACTATCAAATGCAATTGAAGCGCCTCTATGCCAGGGTTTTTATGTTCCTGGTCAGGCTATACATAAGAAAATTATTTAAAAAATATGCGTTAGTGAAAACATTTAACTGACCTTCTTTAGGGCAAATTTTTCAATCGTCTGATATTTTTTAACTGAAGAATAATTTTGTCATTTTGACATGTTTTCCATACTAAAACTGTCAATGTGTCTAACTTCTTCAGTTAGAAGATGTACGATTGAAAAATCAGCCTTTAGATACCTAACCGAACGTTCGCAAAGTTTTTTTACCAGCTTCTTGCTATATCCCATAACGACACCTAAAATAAAGTATGAATGTAATACAATTTAATATGAAGAATCATATGGCGGCAATGCATGCAAATCTTGTGGTGCATCAAGTTTGTTTAGCCACTAATAAATGCAATCAGGGTAGGCACGATGTTATTGGCGACTCTATAAAACTTAGTTTATAAGACAAACATAATTTATACATTTAGAGTCTTTTCTTTACAGTTGTGCAAATTGGTGGTAATTAATATAGCGGTAACCCAATTGTTTCTTATCGTTTCTGATTAATTTCGTTGCGACTCCAATGTTTAAATATCCCCGGTTTGTTATTTGGTCTTTACTGGTTGAGTTTTTACTGGCATCTATGGAAAGAGGTAGGGAATAGTCCCGTTATCGCACTATTATTTATAAGGACAATAGGTATAACTGTAACTGTTTTAGATGGCAACCCTAACTACAACTAGAACTGATATTGACTGCCCACGTCGCGAGAGACGAGTTAGCTCAAGGTTCTAGGGACATAGGTATACAAACATCAGTCTATTAGACTAAGATCGCTCTTGAACGTCTTCACAAGCAATGGAACCTTATGTCCTTGTGTCAAGTGCTGTTTTGCAACAAAAATAGTCTGATGTTGTTCTGCAATATCCAAAGAGCACCATGGTCTATCAGAATAAGACATATTAAACAACATAGTCTACATAATAGGTATCTACAGGGAATCTTTTACATTACACTAGGAAAAAAATCAGTAATTTATGTTAATTATTTCTTAAAATATGTACTGTTGGTTTGATATCAAAAACTGAAACCTTTGCAAATACTCAAAACTTTTTGCTTGCCGTTACTTAAAAGAACAACTCAGCCGCTACTAACCTTTTGTTACAGATGAATCTAAATCTTACTAGCGATGTCAATCCCATAAGTGTCCAATTTTGGTCAAAATTGAATAAAGATAGAGTCAAACATATTCACATTCCATTCCAGAATTCCACAATTCGTCACACATAGACAGACAGCGGCATATTTCGCTCAATTGCTCCGATTACCCCAGGGACACGTTAACACGTCAATTTAGATTGTCTGCAGTTTTGTTTGTCAAATGTAGAGTTCCCATTATGATGACATGAATGGAAAAAAAGAGAATAAATTAGTAATAGTTTAAAAAACTAAAAACACCCTTATTACTGCGCAAAAAGGTAAGTGCTCGAAAAGACAAATCCAATGAACCCAAATTCGATGAGATTTCGCCATTTGTTTAAGAAGCTCTTATGGCCACCTTCCAGTCCCATCATCAGACCAGCTCGATGGTACCATAATATTGTATTGTCATCTAATCTACATAGGTATTTCATGATGATACAAGAATTAGAAGTGGGTGTAATTCAGATTCTTAAATTCCATTACATAGATGACGCCCTAATAAAAGCGTCTTAAAAAAGGTCATCATGATCATCATCATCATCATAAATTTGAGTATCAGATTTGGTGGTCCAGGATTTCAACAAATTCTATGACATGCTATACCAACCCACGATATATCCAAACCTCTTTCTCATTTTAAGAAAAACAAAAAGTTTCATTTACATTCCACGTTTCATCTATCGATATGATCACAAAACCTTGTGTTATCAGGAAAGTTTAGCTCTAAAGTCGGGCCTAATAAGGGTATTGCTCCCAATCACCCAACCCTTTACGATTAAATTTCATCCCCTCATATTAGAAATGAAAACTTTTCCGATCTGAAACTGCGTATTTCTTTAATTTGCTGAACAGTCATTTGGAGGGTTCATACAATATACAAACTTATACCTCATCCAAAATAACCAATATACAGCTTTGGGCTCATAAAAATAAGGTTGACTGGACCCGCAAAGAAATGTTGTTAATCCGATAACTGCCAATTATGTTTCGTATAGAAAAGCAGCTGAAACGACAGCCAAACAATAACATAAAAGAGTCAATACGAAATACAAATGAATAATCTATAAATGCCTTAAAGACATTGATTGCGTAGAGTTTGAGATTGGTAGAGCGGGCAAAAAGCTAAAATAATAATTTTCTTACCTCTGGTAAATTATTAAGTAGTTAATATTATGTAATGTACGCACTGTTATTGTAAAATCAACTCATGTGCTTATCTAAAAACTTAATATCCTCAATTTTCTTTGGAATAAGTGCCTGTAAGTCATACGAAAGGCTCTAAGTAGTAGTACGACAGTGGATAAGTACGTCACTTAACAGATTTAGTTGAAACTAGTCATTAAGACTGTGTAGGACTTGTATTAACTTACTTATTTGAAAGGAAAAGATAATTTAATTACAGTTTACCAATTTACTACTAATAAAGTTAAATTTACTACTACTAAGACAACAAATTATGAGTATTGCCTGATATTAGTTAAGGCATAGGCCGTAGCAAAATTAATTTTAGCCAATTTCTAATATTAAGTATAATAAGTTAATAACCTATAAACTATTTCATTTTGATTGAGACAAAAATACCTTTTTTGCCGCCCGCTCTACCCGTCTCTCGCTCTACGCCCCAGCTAATACGATCCAGTTAGAGGACCATAATAAGTCGGCATATCCCATACCCCGAAGATGGTATCTCTACTATTTTTATTTTATGCAT